TCTATGCCGCCCCCATCGCAACAAAGCCTCGGGGCAGCTCACAACAAGAACAAAATATACAAATATAACAAATTATACAATAAAAATATTAAAACCTGGTGCATCTCGGCTTAAAAGATTTAAAATCCTATAAATAACCAATAAATTAACAATTAAAACAAGTTTTAAATAAAAAGGTCTTAGCCTGGCGCTGAAAAACAAATAACAGGAGCGCATTCCATACATAGGAGGTATATGTGGTATGCCAATGAACATCCTCTCCCCATCCTTTACTAGAATGCAGAGAACACCTGTACATATATGCAGGGTCTCTTCACAGATGTTCTAATGAGCATGTATAGAGTGGGAGAAGGCTGCCTCTGCAATACTATGTTCTCTGCCAGTGTGATACAGTGTTTAGAGTGTTGGGTAGTGGTCAACAGCTTGATGAAATGTTGGCCCAGTGCTTAGCTGCTATGAAGAAGGCAAATTCTATTCTAGGCATAATTAGGAATGGACTAGGACAAAATCTTTCTTTTGCTATACAACTCTTTGGTGAAATATTGTGCTCATTTCTGGTTGCCATACCTGAAAAGGGACATAGTTGAGTTGGAAACATGGGGTTGGAGCAGCTCCCCTGTGAGGAGGAGCTGCAAGAACTAAGACTGTTCAACTTAGAAAAAAGGCAAGTAAGAGGAGACTTGATAGAGGTATTTAAAATGATGTATGCTGTGAAGACTGTAGAGGGGGAAACATTTTTCTCCCTCTCCCCTGATGCAGGCTCATACAAAGAGCAGAGGTGGGGATAGTGTGAGAAGGCCTCTAACATCTGAAAGAGGCTTGTGTTTGGATTTTTTTAAATAAAAAGTGCTCTTAAAATAGTTGCTCTAAGAACAAGGGGGAAAATAGAGAAAACCTTTTTTTCAGATCAGCTTCTGCTGGTGTGTAAAAGAGGAATGAAAGAGATCTTACTGCCTTTTTGTAACCCTTAATAACTATTCATAGTTTTCAGACATTATTTTATGGGACAAATATGAAACCAAAACCAAAATAAATGGTGGCATGGCAAGTTCTTTCAGAAAACATTTTGCTTTATGGTTAAAAAAAGTGTGAGTGAATTGTTCCAGAGACAGAAAAAATATTTCTAGGTTTTTATCATGTTTTTTAATTTTACCAGTTTATCATGTGAGTACTATGCTACTGTTAATATTTTTAGCCTGCTTTTTATCCTAGGATATCAGGGTGGTACAAAAAATGTATAAACAACAAAATATGACTTAGCATTATACAACAGATCATAGAACTTCACAATAAAAATGAATAAAAAGAGAAGGAATATGAATGGCATAGGCATATTCTACAATGCCACAGAAGTACTGCTCAGATTTTGAGACAGCTGTTTCTCTTTTTTATTCTTTCCTCTGTTGAAATCCCACAGAAATAAATAGGTACTTGTAAATTAATTCTTAATGTTATGTTCTGCTAGTCAGGCTGCAGTGTCCCTTTTGATTATAAATGCAATATCTGCAGTAATTACTGAATTAAAACAAGCAATATGAAGAATAGCATGCTAATTAAACTTGTTGCATTTGAATGATTTTCTTTGGATCACTGTGTACAGGAAAGAACAACAATAAATGCTCCCATTTTATCTTTTTTTTTTTTTTTTTTTTTTGGAAGCCTAGAGCTGCAGATGGTCAGAGGATATTATAAGCACCTAGGTTCTAAATTAGTCTTTTGTATGGAAAGGAGAAAGGTAATTTGAATTTTTGACCCCCCCCCACCCTATCTTCTTCCCACACAGGAAGCTTGTCTTGAAATGAACAATTCTCTAAATAAAGACTAATTAGGACCTAAATTAATTAGAAGGTGTGATATGAAAAGAGTTTGATGAGAAGAGTGTGTCATTTTAAACAAATGGAATAGAGCTAAATAAATTAGGTTCCATTAATATCTCATTGTTGTGCAAGCAGCTCTCTTTTATTGCATTCATTAGAGGGTACTACATTAAACTAGCCTTTGCTGCCTATTATCGATTCAACATTCATTTACCACTACAGGGTTTCTGCATTAAAAGGAGAAAATAAAAAATCCTCACTGCTTCTGCAAACCAACATTCATGTTTCCTGGGCTCTCTGGTTTTTATTAACAGTGTTTATTTTATTTATTTGTTATAGCAGTTCCAGAAAGAAAGCTTTAGATGAAAAGCAAAGTGAAGAAGTTTGTAAGAAAAGGTGGCCAAGTAGGTGTCTAACACCTTCTCTCACATTTAATGTAACCATCATGTGCAAGAACATAGTAAAGATAGTAATACTCATCTGTTTGTACATTAAATGTGCCATAGAATAACATGATTTCTTTCTTCTCTCTTTACACTTTTCCCATTCCCCTACCATCCTTTTCTGCTTTTCCAGATGGAGTGTTTGGAAAGTGTCAGCAGGTACCAGTGATAGATGTATACAAGTATGAAGTTTCACCACTCGTACTCCAGCACTTACGAATTGTCTTAGAGAAGTTGTTGCACAGAGGTACTGTACAGAACAGTGTTGGTGCATAACATATAGATTTGTTTAATAAGTGGCATAGAGAGGTGCAGTTTTTGCGAAACTTTCATCCAAAAGTTTTACTTTCAGTAAATTTGTTTTACAATAAAATTCACAAAGATGGGCATGCTTCCCACCTTGCTCATGTTGGATTGGCTTAGAAATACCTTGAGTTACTGTCCATTCCGGTGCCATTTTCCACTGTAGAGGTTAGAGAATGACCTATGACATGATACAGTAGTCAGTGATTAAGCTCCTTCTGCTACAGTGTCTCAGGAGCAGGAACAATCCCTTCCTTGTGAAGCAGGGAAGAGTGGAACAGCTCCATGCAGAGTTATTCTGTTGTGCTACTTTAGCTTTATCTACTTTCATAGCCTGATGACAATGGAGCTAGTAAATCCAAGGGAAAAGTTTTTTCTGGTAAGGGCTATGTGATGCACCAGATAAAAAACCACTTAAGTTCATTACCTTGCCAAGTATTGGGCATAATCTAATGAGGTGCTTACACCCCTGCCAGTTCTTTTCTGCCCCACTGATTCCCATATACAAGTATGGCTCCCAGCACTTATGCAAAGAGATTTAGCACTTCCTAGAGGAAGCCCTAAAAGGAGCAGCAACAATCATTTCTGGAAGTAGGTAGATCAGTGGATTTGCCTTGTGTGAGTTTTGATGAACTACCTCCTTCCAGATACTAGTGGTTCCACCGATTTTGCATTGCCCTGGAAGTTATAAATATCTGTTGTACAAATGGTGGAGCCTATTTGTACAATGCAATTGGTAGGGATGGAACAGAATCAGTAGGGGGGGTAAGTACCCAGTTGAATTCTGCTTATTATACAGCCAATCTCTATTTTCTTACAGTTTTTTTCTTACAGTTTTTTTGTTCTTTTGATTCCCTTCCATTTGAACTTATTACCTGATAATGAAGTAGTCACCTTTGTTGCTGTCACAGTTCCCGTTGGTGTTTTCCTTCCTTTATACGGCCATTGATTCTTTCCAGATTATACTGGTGATCAAAGTGGAGATCAAACAAAGAATTGGGTTCAGTATCAACAGGAGAGAAAAAGTATTACCAAAATGGTGCTATTAATTCAGAAGACCTGGATAGGCAACTCTAGGAGAGTGCAGGGTATAATATAAAGTTGATTCTTCCTTATGTTGGTATCAAGCTTTCCCGTCCTGTCCCGTCCCATCCTGTCCTTTTTAATCAAAGGTTTTAACCTTGTGTGAAATGTTTCATTTTCATATAGGTAGTCAAGTAACTGATTGTTTCTCTATGTGCATTACCTTTTTTTCTCCCTCACTTGTTGGAATGTTTTATCTCATATATCCTGTAGCATTATAATCAAGGTGGAAATGCAAAAACTACTAGATTATTTGATATTGGAGAAAACATTTGTCTTCCATCTATGGTAGGTCTTCATCAAAGTATATACATTTACTACATTTACTTTTTTCTTCTGCATCTCACTTCACCTGCTATGCAAAGTACATTTGCTTTTCATATTGTGTGGTTGCAGTACACAGTCATCTTGAAATTGGCACAATTGCCAGAAGCAGATAACAGATTCTATGATGATGCACCATGGACCCAGTTTGTTACAGTGAATTGGGCTGTACAAACAGGTTCCCACCATGAAGTAATTCCAAGCAATATTCACAAGTCGAACAATGTTATGAGTGATGGATCTTAGGGGTATCTTGGACATAAAGGGAATGTTGGCATGGCACAACTATAAAAAACTGCAGCTTGGCTTACTAGTTTCCTCACTGCTAATATACACAGCAGCCATTTCCGCGGTAAGGTGACTTCTTCCCCTAATTCTTCCTGCAGGTATCCCAGGAGATACTGCAGGAGCACCAAGGTTCTCTCCTCCCTGCTGTTGCTTGAGAACAGCACTGAAAGGGGGTGAGGAGAATGGGGGTGCCCATCACTCCACACAGCCAAAAGTTGGCAACAGTAGGAATCTTTCTCATCACCATTACTGCCCTGAAAGAGCAAGTAGTGATAGCCAGAATCCCAGCAGACGTAATGTCTTCTGTCCCATGTGATGGAGTAGCTGCTAAGCAGCTGCCATGCTGGGTGCTTTAGGTGAGCCCAAAGAGAACATCCCCTGAGTCATATTCTGCCTGGCTTTCTGCTTGGGAAGCGAATGGGCTACATTCTCCTCAGAATCCTCTAAAGGAAGCCCAGCAGAATGTAGCTCTGCTCAATTGGCTGGCAGTTATGGCATCACTGGATGAGAAAGTCAAGCAGAACGCTGCTCAGCCCGTAATGCCACAGCCATCAATGCTTTTGGCTGGTGGTTGGGGCAATGTGGGGAGCTGTCATGATATAGTTAAGCCAACCTTTAGGTGAGAGAAGAAACATAAGTCTCTGATTTACAAGGTCTAAGAATCCCATATGTCAAGGTCTAAACTAATACTAAACGAATACTTGAGCTTATCTGGGCTGCTAGGACCAAGGGCACCTGGAAGTGCTGGGCAAAGTGTTTTGATTACAGGCAGCTGGGGAAATTGCCACTCTGGGATTGGGAGTTCTGACATCACCCAACTGGTCAGTTGAAGGAGTTGGGTGTGGGGATAAAGGATCCAAGGATTGAGAGGGTGTCACTAGCTGAGAGAATCTTCTCAAATAGAGGCACTGTCAGGTGTAGCACCCATATGTGTGATGCACAGAGACCACAATGAACAACTTTTGTTCTTCTCCTGGTTGAGCTACCTGCCTGGATTAAGGATCAGATGTTAGTATATAGCATATGGTACTAGCTTTCTTATTTTGCTATTGTATGGTGCAATGAGGTTTGGTGATATAAGGCAGTGGGGTCAGCCTCGAGCTTACTGTATAACTATGTTGCTGCTATCCACCTTCCTTTACCCCTTTTCCTGGGAAAATTCTATACTTCTTTTTGCCTTGCACCCCTATTTTAATTTTTACTAAACTTATTTTATCCCCTGCAAATGTACTTGAGTGAGTCATATGCAAAGTCAGGTGAGCCATATGCAAAGTCCAAGGGACTGTCCTCATTGCAATCTTACAGGAGCAACTTGGGCACTTCTTGAATGGCTGTCACTGGGGCTTATCCAGAGCTACATGGTCAGCTGGCAATTCTTTTTTACTACTCTTGCCAAGCCACGCTGTAACAGCCTGACTTTGCACCTTGTGGGTTGTGCTGTCAGGGTTTGGATGACATAGAAAGGCACCATGGGGCAAACAAACCCTGGAACAGGCCATAGTTTTTCAGGATGGCATAGAAGCTAAACTATAGCCATGCTAACTAAACCATCCCTGGTTTGTATATACCTAATGAATGTAAAAAATAGGTTTTTGCTATGGCCATGATATTGTAAAAGCTTTGGGCTCGTGTGCTTTGTTGCTCCTGCATAGCTTCATGGAGGAGAACTTTTTCATTCTTCTAACTGTGCTATCCGAATTCAGAAAACTGGTTTCTTTAAATGGTGTTTTGTTAGAATATGGTAAAAGAAAAACAAGAAGCTGTTCAGTAAACAATTTAAATTTTGTTCAACAATTGGAACCTGCAACAAAACGTTGCTGTGTGGAGTGTTGCTGTTCAGGATTCTGGCCACTCTATTCCATCCCCACAACCCTGGTTTTCTGTGTTTACCACCCTCATAATCAGTCAGCGTGCCATGGTCACCCAGCACACTAAGTCCTCATTGGCCATTTGATGGGAAAGAACCCAATAGGATTTTATTAGCACTTTTGTTACCTTTGGAATTCCACCAAACCTGTCAATAGTTCCCTCTTGTGTGGATGTATTGTGCTTTTCAGCCACACACCACTATGGTGCTGGGTTCTTCTTTGGTCCACCTTACATTTTCATTGGGTTCTGCATTGTGTAGGAAATGCCTGGATGATGTAATAACTTGAATAGTAAGAAAAGCAGGTAGAAAAAACGCATCATGGTAATGTGAGATTATTATATTTTGTGTTCAAAAATATAAAATGCTTCTTGTATTTTACATTTTGAGTCACTTAAGATTTTGCTTACATTAAATTTATGTGATATTTCAACTTCGTTTTTCTGTCAAGTGATACTAAGATGTTGGTAGTGTGTGCTATTCATTCATTCATTCATTTATTCTGTTTAAACGTTGTAAGCTCTAGCCATAGGCTCTCTGGGAGGCTTACATTGTGATGAAATCCTTAGACAGCATTAAAACAATACAATACAAAATACAACAACACAAAATTACAAAGACCAATAATAACGAAACCATTAAATAAACAAAATAGAAATAGTAAAACAAATTATATATTACAGAAAATTTAAAAAATGAAACGTAAAATAATTAAAATTTAGTTTGTATCAATATCTAGCATTTAAAACATATTGGCAGCATCATATAATAGCATAAAATAGTGTGTGCCATATACTTACAATCATATAATTTGTAGAGTTGGAAGGAACTCTTAAGGTCATCAAGCCCAACCCTCTTCAATACAGGTTACAATTATAACATCCATGGGATGTGGCTTTTATTTAACCATTTTAGCAAAGGATTGCCCACCACCTCCTAAGACAGTGTGTCCCACTGTTGAACAGATCTTTCAAGCCTACCTTTGCTATGTTATGGTTTAAAATTTTACACCATAAAAGTTAGAGTTGAGATTTTTTAGGAAGCTTGATTCTGTGACTAATGCTGAATTCATTGCTTGCACAATGCAATCACAGCATGCTTGTAGATGTATTTTAAGGCTAGTTATGTATATTTCTTTTATTATTTATCTCCAAACATACAATGGAAATGTCCTATGTTGCTATTGTGATGTGAAGTTGTGGAAGGATTTTGAAACGCTTTGCCCACTTAAAAAAGAACTCTAGAATAAACTTACCATGGGTATAGTGGATGATCACAAAATCTGTAGCATTATTAATAACCTTGAGCTTTTCTTATGAAGTATTACATTTTTTGGATATGTGTCCCAAGACATCATATATTCCTCAGCAAACAATAGGAAA